TGTGGTGCTGAGGCATGAACCCAGGGCCTCATGCATGCAAGGCAATCGCTCTATCACTAAGCCACCTTCCCAGCCCCTCATTATTCTATTTCATACATGCAAACAATCTACATCAATCATATTCATCCTCTTTTCCACAAACTAATCACTTAAGGAAAACAGATATTTTTCCAGCTTCCAGAAGTCCACTTAGCCAAAGGCTGTCATACGGGAGTCCTGATACTCTCACAGTTAGCCCACAGAGGTCTGAGCCCTCAGCGTCCACATTCCTTGCTTCTAAGGGAAGCCTGGCAGGGTGGCTGGGAGTCACACAGTGCAGCCTTACCTAGCCCAGCCACACTGCTGTGGTTCTCCAGCATCACTTCCCTGTAGAGCGCCCTCTGGCCAGAATCCAAACACTGCCACTCCTCCCGAGAGAAGTGCACAGCCACATCGCCAAATGTCACAGCCTCCTGAAAAGATACAAACCAGCACTCCATGGATCTCTGGGTTCTCGTCTCCATGGTATTGTATCATGTCTATTTCAGGGAGGTCATCACAGGACTAGGCAAAAGTCCCCTAGATCCTTTCAATCTAAAATCCTGAGGAGAGGAGGACCTCAAACCATGGTGACTTTACAATCAGAGATAGGCTCACGGCCTTGGGAAGGACAGCAAAGGGGCTGGCCTGACCCTGGCAGTGGCCACAGTGAGCGCTAAGGCTGGGTCTGAGCCCAGGCTCATTAAGGTTTCCCCAAGTAGGAGGTGAAGGCTTCATAAGACAAGTGAGGGAATGGAGACAGCCAGACGTCCTACCATGAGGCTTGTTGGGTAGGCGTCCATTCCTTCTGGTTCCGATACCTGCTGGAAATCACAAAAGATTCAGAGGTCAGGTACTAGCAGCTTCCTAAATTCTAGGGCAGTCAAGGCAAGTATGGTGTCCCTGCTCCTTTACCTCCAACTGTAATAGGGACCTGGGGCTGGGTGGAGGCAGCCCTGTACCTGAGTATTTGTCCCATGAAACGTCATTTATCTTTCTGTGCTGAGTGTGTACTTAGGTAGCACTGGAGAGGCAATAATGAATGCATGAGTACCCTGTGTCCATGAGGCATCTGATGGAAGTGATAATCACAGAAACACACAACTATGACAGTGCTGATGTAAGTACAGGAAACTATGACCCCACTTCATGGTGAAAACTCTGGCTAAGTCTGGGCCAAAGGGATGGTGGTGGCGAAGGCACCCCACCACATGAAGAACAAGTCCAAGACCTGAGGTAGACTGAAATGGTACTGAGTTACCAGTGTGTAGCCACAGGCAGTAAAATTAGTATGGAGGTACTCTCCAGTAGACAGGAGCCAGAAGAAAGGATGGCAGGAAAGTGGTCACCAGGGCTGGGAAGGTGGCCCAGTGGTAGAGTGCTAGCCTTGAGATGGAAGAGCTGAGGGACAGCGCCCAGGCCCAGAGTTCAGGCCCCACAACCGATGAAAAAGAAAAACAAGAAAAAGAAAAAAAAAAGAAAAAGAGAGAAAGAGAGAGGGAGGTTACCCGATGCAATACCCTACCTGCTCTCCAGCAGGTAAACTCCAGGACAGGTCACAGCCTCAGAACAGCACAGGAGCCTCACGCCGGTCATCCCAGCTCCTCAGGAGGCTGAGACCTGGGGATCGCGGTTCAGAGCCAGCTCGGGCAGGAACGTCCGTGAGACTCAGATCCCCAATAAACCAGTGCAAAACCGGAAGCGGCGCTGTGGCTCACGCGGTGGAGCGCTCGCTGGAGCTGACGAGCTGAGGGGCGGCGCCCAGGCCCCGAGTTCAAGCCCCACGACCGACCCCAAGAAACAAAAAAGGAGCAGAGGCGCCGCGGCCGCAGACCCAGGCCGGCCTCGGGCCGGGGATCGGGCCCGGGAGGACGGCCACTGGGTCTCGCCTCACGCCGGCGGGCACCGGAACGAGCG